AAATGGCGAGTATATCACAGTATCGACAAAAATGGCATTGTATATAAAAGATCAGTAGACGTACAATGAAAGCAACAATCAGTTGCATGATTTGAATCAGCAAGCACGAATAAGACAAAGTAAGAGAAAATGACAATGCCAAAGATCGTGACGGAAGAACACGCGAAACATAACCGAGAGCTGCCCTGTTACACTGAGTAAAGTAAAATACTGTTTATCTTTACGGGAATCGTTGAGAATTTTCGCGAACAACAGTATAATGGATTCGACCTCTTAAAGAACTGTCATTACAGCAGCATTGATAAATCGTGTTCCTATGAATGTACTGCAAAGCAGTCACTTAAGAGGAACTCGCGTAGAGGAGGAAAGGTACTGTGACAGGCTCCTTCACACGGGCTCTGTGAGCGAATATTATTTGAGATAAATTATTACTACGCTCAGCGGCAGACATCTTAGTTTCGGCACAAATTTAAATAAACTGCCAGTCACCATCAAGCCTGCTGCACAGGGAAAACGATAACGCCACTGTATGCATACTGATAAATTATGCTGAACGAGGTTGATAATTGCTTTTAATGGAACTCGTAAATATCTCAACATTTTGTCATGAACGGCTGCTGGAAAGCACTGCTGACATTCATGTTCATGTCACTCGCAGCATGATCCCAGGATGTCTGTCACGCGATCATTATTAGAGCTGTACGGAAGGGCGAAAGCTTGTGGCGGATATGCTTGCACACCGAGAAGATTTAAAAGGTACGACGAAAGTATTTCACCACGCCTTCTCTGTGGATTAGGTTGGACGGCGGTCCCAATACTTTCATCTGAGTTTGTCATAAAATCCATCTTTTCGACAGATTTTGCTTAAAGGCATGAGGCAGTCCGTTATTTAATTGATACTATCACACTAGTTTTTCATTTTGGACTTGACGACAAGTTTTCTATACTGTGTTAGCGTTCACTCCGCCGATCTACTTTGGTATTTGTCTGTTCTTAAGTATAATAGTTAATGAAGCGTTAATACTTGATTTGTTTTTATTTCACTGAGCTTTGCTACATATTTTTTTGTCAATATCTACGTGCAGTGCTTAGTGCCTGAAAATACCGAAGCGATTCTTGACGTTGCACGAGCGTCATGGCATGCAGCTGATGCGAAACGCCGGAATATCCGTGCCAGAGCACTCGTTAGTGCGTTCCATAAGCGAAGTAGAAGAGGCTGTGCGGCGCATCGGTAGCATTTATTTTTTTATACTATTATTTGGTCTGCTCTAGAGTACTTTTCTTCAGGCGGCAGCGATTTCATTTTAAAAGCGCAGGTCGCGACGGGTGGTCGACGACTTGGCCAGTTTGAGAACGGACTGAAGGGTGGCATCCAGTCGGTGACTAGGTATACGACCGAAGGGCGGCGTTGTGTATATTCATACGTGTTTGTGTGTATTTATGGCATACCGTTTAGGGGTAGACGTACCCTGAAATCTAAAGTCTTAATTTTGGGTCCTTTGCTCGAAGATCGCATTTCAGGTGGATTCAAATTTTAATTGACCGTCTAAATCCAAAAGTAGGTTGATTCATTCGTTGATTGATTTTTTGATTCGTTCATTCATGTATTCATTCATTCGTTCGTATTTTCTTATTTTTTTCATCTATTCACTCCTTCATTTCACCGCTCATTCATCCATTTCTTCACCTATTCATTTTCTCGTTCTTTTTGTTTTTTTCATTCTGTCATTTACTCATTCCTTCATTCATGCATTTGTTTTTCATTAATTTTTCAGTCGTTCAATCGTTCATTCATTTGATCTTCAGAACTTTACCTTTCCTTTGGACTGCATGGGCAACGTTTTCTAATCGTCCATGTCCCTTACCAGCTGGGTAGACTCCAAACTCCATGATCGGGTCCTTACGAGATGCAGTACCATATAATCAATAGAACCATGTCATCACGGCAAAGCAGGTGGATGCGCATTTGTTTCAGTATAGGCGTTTCGCTGTTAATGTGGGATCGATCTTTGTTGTAGTGCCGTTAGGAATGCATTATTTACGAAGATCAGGAGAGAGCGTAATGTGTCAGTCAGTAGAGCGCATCGTTTGGAATCGGACACATTCAAATCTTGGCCAGGTCACTCGACTTTCTTTCTTCGGATTTGTTAGATTTCTTCTTGGTCTATGGTTGGAAACAGAAGTACGTTGGCAAGGATGATCATTTCATCGTACCATTTTTATCGGGTTCACAGCGAACCTTTACAGTTACCTTATGCACACCATTGTTTTTCTCTACCATGTTATTCCGTAATTCAGTTGTCATCTACTTACCTCAGCGGGTATGCCGAGTTGTGGAGAACCGTATTAGGAGTAACATATTTTTCAACTTATCAGTATCTAACACCCAGGGTGGAAAGAGACTACGGTGCTACGAGTCGAACAATTTATCGAGAATATTTTCCATAACTGTTCGTGGTGATTCTTTTTGACGTATTTTACGAATTTCTGTTCTGTTCATTTATCATTCTTTCGTCAGTCATGACTTTGATGAGCAGTGAAAATTCTTCTTCAGTGCACGAATCTGTTTTGGGCAACTTTTCAGTCATTTTAAGGGGATCAAATGCATTTTCAGAAGGAAGGATTGGGCATGGGTCCATTTTATTCCTTAAAGAAAGCATAGAAAATTTTGTGATCGTTCAATCTTTTCTTTACACAGATGATGATCGGTAACAGATAAGGTGAACGAAACATCCAGACATCGTCTGATAGACAGGATTAGCAAATAAAAAAAAATCAGTATCTTTTACACCGCTTTGATAATCGTGACATAAAAAATTCATATGCTGCTTAGCAAAAATAGCATATGCTGCTTAAACTTTTCAATTATATTGTCATACCTCTGAACGCAATATGGAATTTGTCACTGTCATTGCCCAGTGCAATGCATTTCTTGCAATCAGATGCGCACACAGTGCATACATATGATCAAACCAGCCGTCATTAGCAGCAAAACAAGTTGCAGCTTTCTCATTCTTCGCCACTTCTTCATACAAACTCTTGGACACGTGTATTTTGCAGCAAAATCGTCATAGGTCTGTTCTGCCACTGTGTTTGATCATCAGTCTACGATTGATTGGCTCATGCAACGTGGCTGTTATCAGCAAATCCATGTGGCTTATAATTCAGTCTGTTCTTACAATTCCTTCATTTATTACAAATGCCATTTATTCCTTTGGGTGACAAAGGCCATTGCTTCTTGGTGCTTTTTCCCCATCTGTTGAGGTTGCTCCATGTGCTGGATAGCAAGGCACGCCAGTGCGAAATCTTCTGCATGTTCGAGGCATGAGGTATACAGTCTGCCTCTGAGCCGTTTTCCATGTGGCTTTGAGAGCTTCTGTGAGATATCTGAACCATCGCAATTATGGCCACTTTATTGGGAGAAAGAACGGCTTACAAACAACGGTATTTCGGGTTATTCGTAGGTTAAACGTCTGACTCAGTATCGAGAGGCTACCGGCTCGAGTCCCTTTCAGGTAACTTCTTTCTTCTTTCCGAGGTTGAGAAATGATTGTCATTCTGTTGGAAGAAAACATGAGACTACACGCAATCTTTACCACAAAACTGCTATCGATTCTGCCATTAAAATGAGAAACTCCTGGCTGATGACATGGAAATAGAGTCAGCGCTCCGCCATTATCTTCATGAAAAGAAGGGCGTGGAAAATGGCCCCATTATGAAAACGTAAGCGGAATCGACTTTCTGACAGTTAAAAACTTTCCGTATACTTATTCCTTATTTCCGGTTGCCGTGTTTTAAACCTTGTTGAGCCTCGTCACTCAGGCAGTCTCTTGAAGAAATGCTGGGCTTATTGTGCTCGGGATGTAAATAACAAATGTTCCATTTGCTCTGAAGTTTGCCAGCTTCATCTGAGATTTAATGATTTCTCAGCCCTGATGCTTTCTGAATATCAGTGCATTTGTTACCATGTTAAGATGTTTTGATCACTTACTCAGGATATTTTAGTTTTGGCCTTATTCTTTTCCTTTTTTTCATCTAAGAATCATTACTGCTTCTCAGCATTCATGTTAGCGCAGAATATATAAAATATGGAAAGGTAACGATTAATTAAACAGCGATGAGCGAGTGTTGTTAACGCTAAGGTAGATGGCAGTGCCGAGGAGTCTAGGGCATGCTTTCTGTTTGTGAGTAGGTAAGATTTCTCAGAATGCACGCTCTTGGCGACAGCGATGCCGTATAAAGAGCATGATGACGCAGACAGAATGTTTGTTCATATAAACAGTGTTACAGCGAAAACGTTGAAGCCTCTCTAGCGGTCGTCACGCATCCGTTTGTCGTAGGTTTTATGGCTAACGGCTTAATGCAAAGTGATATATTAAGAAGGTAATCACTCCTTTGACTTATTTTTCTCTCAGATCACTGTTCGAAAAAAAACGTTATCATAGAAATGTTCCATTTTCATGCTTAGAGATACTTGGTTTCTTGCCGTTGTCAAAGTGGTATTTATTTCTAGCGCTGTTGAAGCGCGCGACATTGCAAGTAAAATGCTGGGCCAGAAGTTGGTGACTCGTCAGACTGGAAGCGCCGGTATTGTATGCAACGAGCTTCTACTGTGTAAGAGGCTGTACCTCCGACGGGAGGCCTATTTCAGCATAACGCTGGACAGGGCGTTCGGAGTAAGATCTGTGACAGTGAATCGAATGCATGTGGCGTGTCTACGTACATTTCAGGGGCCAGTGATGATCGCGTGCAAGAACGGTGGCGTCGACATCGAAACGGTAGCCGCTGAGGATCCGCAGTCCATCGTCAAAATTCCGGTAAACATCAAGGAAGGCGTGAGCAACGAGCTGGCACTCGAAGTCGCTCGCGCAATGGGATTCAACGAAAACAGCATCGGCCAGGTGACTACTGACTAATGAATGGCTTTCAGTGGCGACGACATCGTGTGAAACTATGATGCGATTTGTGGTGGTATGTAACGACGCGTGTGACTTATAGGCGGCCGACATCGTCGTGAAGCTGTACAACCTGTTCATCAAGTCCGACTGCACACTACTCGAGATCAACCCGATGGCGGAGGATTCAAACTCGCATGGTACATAATTCACGATCAGACGTTGCCGTTGTCGTCGTCGCTCTTCACAACGGCCTCTTCTCTCTAGTGTACTGCGTTGATTGCAAGATGATCTTGGATGATTCGGCGTCGTTTCGTCAGCGGGAGCTGTTCAAGCTGGCTTCAACGATCGGCATCTCGGATAAGGAGCGGCGCGCTGTCGAAAATCACCTAAACTTCATTCCGCTGAAAGGCAACATCGGATGTCTAGGTACAGTGCTCAAGCAAGTGGCAACGGGCGAGATGCATACTGCATACTGTATCGGATCGTAAATCACGATCAATAATTTAACTAGTTCTTGACAACAGTAACGGAAATTCGCCTTGTTTCTGAATCATAAGCGTAATTAATCGACAGCAATTATGGAAACAGAAACTTTGGGCTCTCATATTCAAATTTTGATATAGCGAGTAATAAACAAAGTTTTATTGGCCATTTGACAGCAGCGTTCTCCTTCCGGGTAAAAGAAAGGCCCAGGTGCAGTACGAAAGCACGATAGTTGCAGCGCATATGTAGAAGCTAGGCTCAGTGAGACAATGGGGTAGTGACGGACTAATCGGGTTTTCCAGTAACAGCCAAGTTATACCCCCTGTAGAAAGTTGAAGAGACTTTTGTCGCATTCTCATTTTCGAAACAGAATATTATGGCGTTACGTGATCACTACGCTTGTAATATGCTACAAGGACAGTATGAACCAGTTACTTAACCACCTGAGCAGTATAACACTTGAAATTAAGTTCGCCTTCAAGGAAAAGCGTTTATATAATTCTCTAAATCGACTTTCAGACAACTTTCAAACAAGCCATTTATCCAGTGTCTCGTCTGAAGCAGTTGTATTTATATCAGTTCATACCGATTACTGTCTGAATTTTGCTTCAAGCAATTTCCTTCCAATGGAAGCCAGAGCAGCTAAATTTTTTATATTTTGAGCCCGTCATTTCTGTTTTAATACTACAACCCGATTGAAAAGAAGACAGTTTTCTAATGCTCTGCAATACAGAGGTTATTAAAAGCTTCGTCAAAAGACTGACAGTTGAGATTTTCAGTTGAAATTTAAAAATCATGCTACGAGAACCGACCTCTGCCATCTGCATTCCATGCGTCGAACTTCCCTCTGATTCGCTCACGATGATCCCTGTGCTTTGCGAATCGTGGTTCTGTTTCAGGTCTAATAATAAACTAAATTCGCTGCTGTCGAAGATGAAAGATAGGGTTGTAGCGAAAGACGTCAGATATTGTTTTGCAGATTAATTATACGAGCTCTAACTCGATATTTAATTAACATCGCTACCGCAACGGGTAAGAATTGTGGAACAGAAAAGTTAGCAGACAATCAGGTATCAACCAACGAGTTATAAGAAAGTTGGAAATAACACCAGGGTCTGTAGACCACCAGATAACTGATCGTTGCATTGATTTCCCTGGAGCCATAACAGCAGCAGCAAGAGTTTTTAGGTGAGTCGTGCTGAAAGCTCGTTGGATCCAAGCAGTGGATAATTCATTGGGCAGAGGCTGCTGCAGGAAAATATCTAAGACCTGGTTAAAGTGCCGCAAGGACTTTGCAGGGTAAATAAATCGAGGAATCATCGAATGACCAACAGCTGGCTCTCACTTATAGGAATGACGACAACCTATGAAAAACATTCGATTGGTGTTAACTAAATAAAAGAAGAAACTGTTTTAGGAACAGAAATGTTCTAAATCGGAATTCGGTTAGAAAATCACATCATTCTTCTCGATCATTGATATAGGACACATGCGTTTGTAAAGCTTCGATGTTGACTTTAATGTTCCGTTTTGTTATGGCAAAACTCGTAATAGTACATTAAAACTAACTCCCACGCATTGCTGTTACAACAGAAATCATGCAGCGCACTCGATGGGTTCAGTGATAGTTGTTAACCTCATTATCCCTCGAAATGTTTAAGTGCCAGCTGCTCAGTTTTTGTTTCGCTGGAGAATGAGCAATATTTATCACACAAAATACCATGTGAATGTGAATATCACGAAATGCCATTGAATTGGTTTAAGCAATTTCTGTTGGATAAGTAGAAATATCGACATAATTGAGTGGATGCGCTTCACCTGATGAAAATCCTACCATTGCTGAATATTCCCTGTGGCCGTTCCCATTTGCTGTTTTAGGCGAGCATGCGATTTCATAGGATTTTATCCTATACGAAATGCCAGTATTAATATCGGGACATGTTAATAACATGTGACTTTTCTAAAATGGGTCTGCTACTTTTAAGCAGGGTTTTCAATATCTTATGAATAAATATCTAAAAATAAGATCGGCAAGATGGTTTGGCTGTTTACCACCTCTGATCACTTATTCCGACCTGCGGTTTTTGCCGGACTACGGCAGAAAGACTGTTGAACATTTCGCGTTGCAGTTCTGCTGATTAGTTGCATAAGCGAAAGCGATCGAGCAAAAATTTGTGTCCGAATAGCTTCTACAGTCTTTAAAGTAATCACGTGGTAAGGCCGAACGTTGTTTAATCGACGTCAGTTGCACAAACAGTTTCTAAAGGCAGTTTCCGTGCATTTCGGATCCAGAAACACCGTAAATACCATCCCTTGCCATGTAGATCACTCTTGCCCTTGCTCTCCAGGACTTCCAAATTTGTAATAGTAGAAGCAACTCATTGTACAAAATTTTGCATTGTAACCTTTAGAGAGATAAGCGCTTTCTTCTACATAATTTTGTCAACGTTGCCGTTTTATGCATTTGTTTTAAAATACCAGTTTTTTACAGCAACTTTCGTTGTCCAAGCGAATGAGCTTAATCTAAGATGTTTATAAAGCGAATGAGAAATACGTTCAGCGGTGTGCAGTTGCTTGTAGTGAAGTAAAGTTAAAATGTGAGCTTAGTTTTTGCTAGCGATGGTAGAAAACCGTCGGCTGTGAACCAGTAAAGTCTCATGACCGTTTCTTCGGAATGTTTCACATGGATGGTCAATTTTTTCTCAAGTCTTTTGCTTCTGTGCCGAAAATTCCGTTACACGAAATCGGCTGTTCTTGGTGTTTGTCAGAATGTCATGTGGAGTGCACGATCTGCACTTCTTTGTATGAAGAAGTCGATGTGAGCCTGTGGCTTTTGACGTTTTAGCAACCGGAAGAAACTTACAGTCTTAGATTTGAACATGCAGGTTACCGAAAGCGAACCGCTACTCAAATTCATTGATAACTGACGTATTAAACCGTATCTTGAGCAGGACTGCTATTCAGGTCATTTCGAACAGGAACAGAAAACCATCGTCCGCATGGCGTTCTTTTGCTACATGCCATATTTTATAGAATGCGGTTGGTTATCAGTGTAACAAATGGAATGTCTTACGCTTGGTGCTGTGGGAATGCTGATGCATAAACGAGTTTTAGGTCAGATTCTGTCGTATGCGTCCGTGTAATTCACGTATCAGTGGATTATTAAATGCGCGACAATATTGCTCATCATCATCCTGTGCAGGTACTGTCTTCTAACTGAATCAGTGGCCGGAATTGCGTCAACTTGTATATCACATGTTGAGGTCTTTTATGTTTGTAGCAACACTTAAATTTCACTGTTGACACATCACTGTACGTCAGAATTTAAGGTATCAGTGGTGTCTCTTTTTGCCTCTTATGCATCCTTTTCTAATACGACCGATTACAGTTAACGGTGCCGGTCTGGCGATGGCTACGATGGACATTATCAAGCTACACGGCGGCGAACCGGCCGACTTCCTGGATGTCGGAGGAGGTGCTACGATCGAAAACGTGACCGAGGCGTTTCGTATCATTACTGACGACCCGAACGTAGCCAAGCGCCGTGAAATCGGCATTAAAGTATGTCCTGTCTGACTTCGGTTGCACTTCAGGTACGAGCAGTGTTGGTGAACATTTTCGGTGGCATTCTGAGATGCGACGTCATCGCAGCCGGAATAGTGCAGGCGGCGAAAGAGCTGAAGTTGAAAGTGCCGGTTGTGTGTCGTCTTCAGGGAACGAACGTGGATGACGCGAAAGCGTTGATCGCCAACAACAACCTGAAGCTCTTAGCGGTGGACAACTTGGACGAAGCGGCTAGAATGGTAAGTGCCGTAAAAGTCTTGTCATCGTCGTTTTGGGCGCGATACGTTTAACAGTTTCGCTTGCGGTAGACACTGATGCCCGGTCTCGTTAAGTGGTCGTGTAGTGCAGATTGAGACAGTGTGTCCAACAGAATGAGTAGCAAGATCTTGCAGAATTCACAGCGATCTTGCATCTCAAGATGACGGGAGCTACTCAAACTTTACATAACCCGCTCCCAGCCGTATAGATCATCATCAGCCTTTTCTGATTCACGGCTGAATGAACTCTTCTACAAGGTTTTACCATAGACTTCTGTTTGCTGTCATTATAAGCCATATAGATTTTGTGAATTTCTTCGGTTTATACTGCATCGATCTGGATGTCTTCCTACTGGCCGTTTACCCTTCGGTCGAACACAGTCTAGTGTTTCTCTGGTCCAGCGACGGTCGTCTTTTCTTGCAGCGTTGCTTGTTCACTACAACTTCTTCACTCGGTTAATGACTCTCGTATGTACTTTTACTCATTCATTCGTCTTGTTATTTTTAACATACATCTCTCCATACTGCGTTTTATAGTCTGGAGTTTATGAATAGTATTATGGTTAAGGGTTTACGCTTCGATTCACACTGAGAGCACGCACTGATCGAAAACTTTCCGTTTCGAGCACAGGGGCAGTTTCCCGCATAGGAATGTTTTGTCTTTCAGAAGTGCTCTATGCCATTTCTACTTTGTTCATTTGGCCGAGTCGCTTCATTGTTGCAGCGATGAGCTGTGCCATATAGATGCAGCTTTGCTGTTTCTTCAAGCCTGAATCCATGGATAGGCTGCGAGGTGACGCATTTGTTAATCATGAGCTGAGTCTTTTTCAAGTTCATTTTCAGTCCTACTGTAATGCTGGCATCGTTCAGCCCTTGGGTTCTTGCGATCACCTTCAGATAACCAGAATATCGTCCGCAAACTGCGGGTGGTCTGAGTAGTGCTTATTTATTTTCAGCCCGATTTTCCTTACAGAGTATCTTAAAAACGTCTAGGGCTGCTGGGAATATCTTCCGTGACATTACATCACACCGTCGAATGTCCTTTTAGATTTTGAGCTTGCTTGCGCTTTGTGAAGCGTTGCACTAGCAGTTGTATTCATGGAGATCATGGTAGTGAAGTCTCGATTCCATTGTTCCTCAAGGATTCCAGTACAGAATGAATGTATACTGAACCGAATACCTTCTTGAAATCGACACCCTAGGCAGTAAGGAAGCTGATATCCGTTGCTTGTCGAAATTACTTGATGTATCATTCAGGTTTGATCTATTGCACTAAACCTATTTCTGAATCCTGCTGGCTTTTTTGGCAGTATAATATTTTTGTCGTCATGTAAAACTAACAGTGCTTAAACAGCAGAATAAACTTAATTTATCTTAGACCTAAAAATAAGGCATGAGTAATAATTACTGATCCTTTAACTGGAACAGCAGATTTTAGTGTGGAACACTAAGAATTTCAGGAATTGGCGAATGCATAAGTTCATTCAAATCATTTGCGATCTAGCAGCATGAGTCACGCCTAGCTAACTGCTTGTTTCTTACTGCCTTTTTATGTTGTTGTGTTAGCTCTGTTGTACTCGTTTCTAAAATCCTTTTTGCCTTTTGATTTCTTTCTGGACTGTTTTGCATGAATTCTTTTGGATGACGGTTTCTCACAGTTGCACTCTGCTTCAGCACTTCCTGTATTTTAGCACTTCCATTCCCTTTGCATACAGGTCTAATTCATGCGGTGCACATTCCTAGATTTCTCTTGTTTTTGTGTAATCTTTTGCATAATGGTATATTCTCTTGGTATACGAAACAACCCTACTGTCAATCTGAACAGCAGCGCTAACGGCGGAATTACAGACATCATCAGTCTAGATTCATAATCTAGATAATCATGAAACCAAATTTAATACGAAACAACCTAACATATTTTGGGAGCTGCGTAACGCCTTTATGCTATCTTTTGTCGTCTTATTTTTAATTTAATCTGTTTCTGTTACACGTTTAAAGTGTATTGGTCAGCTGCTTCATGTAGGTGTTTCACTCTGAACTGTGGTCTAACTCTCCTAAAAACTTCCTCCGGACAACATCTCTATTACTGTCAACAGTAGTGAATACACTAGGCGCTGTTGAAAAATTTCTCTTAACCAACGTGGATATTTGCAAATGGCGTAACATTTACTTTTCAACTGCATGAACAACCCGTACAGCATGATGCACTGCTAAATCAGAAACAAATATGGATCAGAACCACCGTAAAGATTTCTTCAGAATTCAGAAAATTACTTTTCACGCAGCTGTCCAAACGTGATTGTACTTGCAGATGGTGCGTATTCAATGACTGACCTTCACACTGAGTGCAGACTCAAAGACTAACTGATAAACTACCACTGCTAAATTTTCATTCATTTCACAACAGTTAACAGCTCGATCCCATATCATATTATATCACAGTATCATTTCCCATTGCAACTTTTTAGAGAAAATTTAACACCGGTCAGGATGACGATATAATTTCCGGCTCAATCTAGATCACTGATTAAGCAGCGGGCTTTCTTAATACACGGTCTGTTCGTGGCTCAGCATGTGATTTAACCTATGAAATGAACCAGTATCAATAAATAGGATACTACATTTAATCTTTCAGTTTGAAGTCAATTTACGACTAAAGTTCGCTTTTCTTTTGTACGCAGGTTGTGATGTGGTATCCTTTAACCCTGTGCCTGTCAGATTGTTGATATCCACAAAATTGAATGAATAGTAAAACGCAGAG